GTTTATAATGGGAAGCTGAAGGAGCATTTTTTTTTTTGTTATCCCTACTTGTAAAATATTTGCATGCTGTAAACATTTGTAAGCCATTAGCTAGAACCAACAGCACATGCTGTAACAACAAAAGCTATATTTGTTACAGCCATGGGAATTCTTTCCAGTGAAACCACAGAGAGGTAGGCGGGACAGGATCTCAGGGACCAGCTGAGGCATCACCAAGCAGGGGCAGGTTCACAAACATCCAGACAAAGCTGTAGCAGGTGACTGTCAAACCCTTCCTAAAAGGGCACTCAAGTGAAGGGGAGTCTGTGACCTCCCGGATTACAGTGCTCAGAGTTAGGAAGCATCCCTTCTATCTAGCAACTCTAAAATCCAAACTACAACTTGTCCTACGATCAGCACACAGAGATTACACGACATCAACAGCTCGCTCCGCTCAATCATTTACATACTTGAATATTATTTTAAAAATATTTGCCTGTTTCTTGTTTGCCTGAACAAATTATTTCCTTCAAAGTTCTTCCCAATGCACACCTTCCAAATTTTTTAAGACCTCTATTACTGTCTTATAACTAATGTCTCCCCCCACCTGTTTATTTTAAAATGCAGGGCCAAAAACGGGAATAGTGGGGCCTAAAGGGAAGTACTGTTACAAATTACAGCAAAGCAATTTTCTTTTGATCTCTTTCAGATGCTGTTAGCTCATTCAATTTGTAGTACACTATAAGCCCTATAATATTTGTCTTCTAACACTTACTCCCTGCTATGTACCTCTACATTTTGTGCTTCTAAACTGTAAAGAGTCCATATGTATCTCTTAAATTTTAGTTCTATAATTTTGGCAATTTCCTCTAGTTTACCAAGGTCATTTTGAAACAATGTCCTATATAGTAAAGTGCTTAGAATTGGAATAGAAACCAAATCTTATCCCTCTACTCCTCACCCCCAAATTATTTCTACCCAGAGTTCACATAACAAATGGCTCTGAATGTTTGTAAGACTGCAGATTAAGTCAAAACCACTTGATTTGCTGAAAACTCCCATCAGTTGAATGGGCTTTTAATTAGACAAAAATCTAGTGAAAGGAAAAAAAAAAAATCAACACCTATGTAAAAAAGCAGGCAGACACCTATTTTTATTTTGTTTTCAATGAAAACCCAAGACAGATGGAGTACTGAAATGACTTCATCTGACTAAAGCACATTAAACAACAGCAGAAGCCATGGTAACGCTATGTACTGCTCATAACATACTGGCAGGTGAAAAGACAAACCATCTAACAAGATAAGCGATACCTTTACCTCACATTTCAGAGATAACTAATCTATACCCTGCATCAGTTTCCTACATGCCCCGTTTTTTCTTATACCTTTGTATGTCCCTACACTTTTGTGCACATTAAAGTGTCGGAGGGATGAAAAAGCAACGTTCCCTAAAATGTGTCAAGAGATATACAATATCACCGCAATAAAGAGAGGCGAAGAAAGCACACCTCAGGCCCTTTATTCACGTATACCCTTGACACCCAAGATGGTATTTCTTCCTTTGTCTGTAATTTCTACACAGTTACTAGGTTATTCTAGCTGCCCTATTTGCAGGTCTGACCAATATAAGCTTTTTAAGCTTCATGGTTAAGTGTGCTTGTGAGGTTTATCACTGTATTTCTGTATTTCTACTGAAAGAATCAAGAATACTTCAATTGCATCCATCCTCTCCCTCCACTCTTTAAGTAATACAAATTCATAGCAAATCAGGAAAGAAAAAAAATAATCTGAGGAATCTCAAATTAGCCAACAGTCTGGGGATTAAGGCCCTCCTTCAGAAGTTAGAAAAATCTGAGCCTGATTTAATAACGCAAGATGGTCTTCTATTTCCTTTGGCTTTCACATACTTCACTTAAGCATCCGCAACAGCCATTGTCAGAGACATCAGCAAACTTAAGCCTTTAGCTTGACCCAGAATTGATTTTGTTCTGTTCTTAAAAAAAACCACCAACGTCTTCTAAACCAGAACCTGTTTCAAAAGAATGCCATGAACTCTGCTAAATTATATGCAAAATCTGTCCCAGTCGCAATGCTATGAGAATGCTTATTGCACTGATCTTTTCAGGAAAAAAGAGATGAAGGAATACCTAGTTTGCAGATGCAAAGACTGAAACGCAAAAGGAAATCAAGGCTCAACAGCCTTCAATGCTCAGTTCCAATGAAGTTTCACCTTAAAAATAAAGCATATCAAGTACCTACAGATGACATTATGCGCCTCTAGAACTGGAGAACAACAGAGCAGCATACTTTAGATCCTGCATTTTGAAACCAGGCAGTTATGTCCCACTTGCATGTAACTTCTTCCGTGGGCCCGGCCTTCAACTAGTAAAGATAGGGGGAGCATAGATGCTGAGCACAACAGAAATCAGAAGCAGGGGGAAGGGCAAAAACAAACCACAAGAATCATTTCAACACCCCAATTATTTTCATATTTTGAGAAGGAACTTTTTTTAATAATGCAAACCTCAATTCTTACCCAGTTACATACATTCATTTTCATGATTTATACAATTATTGCGTAAGACGTGTGGTCGTTTACATCTTCCAGTACAAGTGACATTAGGTACCACAATTTCATATTAAATTCTAGTTACATTTTCAGTCAGTTACACAAATGTGAAACAAGAACAAGACTAAGACTATTCCCTTCAGAAATCCTTCACATTTGTCCAAATGCGAAGATTGCATAATGGAGACATTTGTGATGTTTATGATAATCCCACACTAATTTGTGTTGCTTTGGTAGATTGTAGTGGAATGTAATGGGGAAAAAAAACCAACCAAACAAAAAAACCCACCAAAACCAAAAACCCAAACAACCTTAAGAGACAAAAAAACCCAACTAAACTTGCAGGCTGATAAGAACTGGCCATTTCCTTTTTGGCAAGGCAAAGCTACTTCAAGTATTTAGAAAAGCAGAAAACAATTTTTTTTTTCTTCAGTAAAAAGGTAAAATAGACTATTTAACCTCTGTTAATAAGTGCCAATAAATTGGTAGCAGTGATTACATCATGCTAGAAGGAGCAGAAACCATCCTGACATAAAGCCAGACTGAAAAGACTAAACTCAAATCTAGAAAAACTATGTGTTGATGCCTTTATCTACTTGCCATGATGTGTGTTCTAAGTGCATGACTGAAAATGAGCATGGTAATGCCACTGAAACCAGTGCAAATGAGTTACCGGATGGATTATTCTGGAACAGAGAAAAAGAGACTGAACACAAACAAGAGCATGGCTTAAGAAGCAAGATTACAAAAGTAAAAAAAGATTACAGGAGTAGCTCAGAGCTCAGTTCAGTTTTGTGTTACATATATGCAAGTTACAACACGTATTTTGTTCCACAGCACAACGAAAATATAAGCAGAAGATAAAGAAACAGACAAGAATCGCTACGCAACTTCTGAACAGTGAGACAACAAGGCAGAAATATGCTTTTGAGCTCAAATGCACCATCATCCCAGATATTTTCCTCTCCCTTATGCCGGAAAGAAGGAAGAGACAAATGACTAAAAAAGAGGAGGAAAAATATACACGATGACTGCTTGGCACTTCTGAAAAATGTTTTGTTATCTAAAAAAGGATCAAGTAACTTATAAATAGTAGCAGTGTTTTATGGCCAATTACCTTCCCCAAGCCTTTGTCAATGCAGAGATGATCACAATAGTGTCTATTCTGGTGACAAGGCAGCACCCCAAAGGGTAGTTTCATTTTTACATATAAAAATAGTAGCTGGGATTGAAACTGTTCTTCATAGTGATTTACTAGTTATGTGACAAAGATTCCAACAAAACCACCTTTTTTAGAGGCATACTAAGGGATAATGAAAAGCACATGGACACGGCTTACTGTTAATTCTCCGCCTTAGATTTGTTGATAAAGTTATTTACCCAGAAAGTATTACTCAGGTGAAAGTTAGTGGTATACAGCATGTGGTCATTAAACCATAAAGAAATGTGATCTTGCAGTACTGGTTGAGCACTTCCAATTCCCACAGACTCGAATGAAAATTTGAACTGCTAAGCACTTTGACTATCCCATTCCACCTTTTTTTCTTCCCCCCTTTAAGTGGGAGACTCACAGTGACCATGGTGCTACATTCCAGCCAAAGTTCATTCCCCTCAGTTTTTTCACGGAACATGATACAGTGTAGAACACTAGCTTGGAAGAAAGTAAAAGGAAGAGGTTCACTAAAAAGCAACATGAGAATATTTACTCTAAAGGAGAGCTCAATTTTACCACATTGAAAACTACTAGTGCAATCGCTCCATTCAAAGTCATAACTGCTCTTAAAGTTACCAGCATGATGCAACCAGCACGAACCCTAGATCAAAAACAAAGAAAAAGAGAGGATGTGCGAAGTAGGCAGTCCCCGTTACTAAGTTGAAATTGATCGTGTTCTGATGTGATTAACTCCTGAAAATTTGGTAAGATATGCTGGTGTCACATTTCAATAAAAATAGTGTTTCAACTCTCACTACAAAAAGAATAAGGATTTTGTTCTGGTCCTGCCTAATCCATTCATGAATTGCAGGGCCCTTGGCACACTCGCCTACCCAAAAAGGCAGTTCCATTTTCTTGTGCTGAAAAAAGCAGCAGGCTTTAGTGGTTACAAAGTTCATGTTTTAAAGTGCACTGTCATTTTAAACACATCTTCCCTCCTAAAAAAAGAAAATAAAACATTCTGATATCCACAGTTTATAAAAATAACAACTGCAATATTCCTCTAAAATGGAAACTTAAAATCAAGTCAAATTAGCAAGATTCAAATCTTTTTCAAAAAAAAGATATGAACCAAAAATAAAAAAAACCTCTTTCTGCAGAGAATTGCCAAGCAAAACCTCATGTACTGTCCTACAAGCCTCTCTCCTAACAGCACCTCACAGAATATCCATTCAGTTTCTTCCAGCCGACAACCTCAAGAAAACAGAGGTCTAAATAAATCAGTCCTTCCCACCAGTCATCTACATAACTGCAGGTGTGGATGCTGGTGCAGTTTTTCCATCAACTCTTCCTCTGTAGGTTCTTCCAAAACATCCCTACAAAGAAAAAGCACAACTTGTTAGGGGCAGCAAAGGGAACTTCTCAGCATTTGTTTTTGCAATGCACATACTGAGATGTAACATGTGCTTGTTTCAAGAATTAAACAAGGAATTAAAGTTACAATAAGTTGATGCTCCCTAAAGATGCATCTACTTGCAAGTGATCCATCCTTTACAGATGTGTCATGGAAACCAGCAGCTGTTTTCCCATAAGAAGCAGGGAAGCAATTTCCTGCACACAGTACAATACAACTGAAGGTCAGTAGACTTGTTTTCCTGAAAAAACTCCCAAATGAGAACATGCTCCCAATGCTATTATTGAATATCCAATGTGCACCAGAAGTTCCACTTGTGCATCATCATCAAGTATCAACTCACCACCCGCAATTTCATAACAAGCCAAGAACGTGCATCACTTTCCTCATCTTCCCTTTCCTTCTCCCTCTCAGCACAGTCCCTTCCCCGCCCCCAACACCTCTTCTCCCATCATGCTATGGGCAGAAAGCATGTAAAGGTTAGGCTACCCAGTCAGCTTAAAGCAGGCCTAACTAAAGCACTTACTGAATTTTTCCAAACTAACAGATGAAACAGTTTGCTTCAGAGGGAGGAAATAGAAGACAAGCCTTTTACCCTCTTGCAGCCAGCACACTTCCTTTAAAACAGATGAACATAAAAAACTAGATCAATTATCAAGCCCGGTTCAACTCACCTGAACATTAGTTCAACTGTCCTCTGGTATTCAATATCTGAAAGAGGCTCTCGATGACAGCGACGGTCCCACTTGTGAATAAAGTTCTGAAACATAAAAGGAACAGGAAAAAAACTAAAGGCTACTTCTGGTGACATTAGAAAAAAGGTTCTAGCAGGTCAACATGCTTGCAGGTAACATTTGGCAAAGGGGTGAGGTTTGTTTTTAACACAGGGTGTCAGAGCAATAATTTATTTAGGCATCCGCATATTTATTGGCTGCAGGTCACTACTTTATTCAAGCCTGTTGTTCAGGAATGAAATAACTTTCTCATCACACACTGAAAAAACAGTAGAGCAGAAGACAGCCCCCACTGCCTTCTACTCCTAGCGAGGACTGCCTCCCCGAAATAACTGTGTGAACTACGCACAAGAGTTCACCTGCTTTGAATTTTTTCCTCTTTAGAAAGCCAACAATATATAAACATACTCCTAGTTCAGGCATCACAGCTTAAACTCAGCTTCTGGTTTTGTCATGTTGCCTTATCCATTTTGAATTACTCTGACAAATCAATACCTAGGGAGTAGACAGAGAGCTCAGGCAAAAAAAAGGGAGAAAAATAGTGACATCATGGCTCTTACAGCAAACTTTGGCCACAGCCCTGCAGAAGCAAGCAGGTAGAAGACTTCATAGGATTAGCCTCCAGCTAGAAGAGAAAGTCTTTTCTGAAACACTCATGGGAAGACTGAAGCTCAGCAGAAGATTCATATCTAAATTTCTGTCTAGAAGTTCGCCATTCTGCCTAAAGTAGTAAATTTTAGTTCTCAATGCTGTTCTTGTTGTTGACTGCATCTCCAAAAGAAGTTTTCATAGGTTTTAAGATGGGGTGAAGTGCCCTCTACAGGTACTCAATTTCTTCCATTACTTATAAGAGAAGTCTACAATGATTAACCTGGAGTAGACGGCTGTGATTAACGTTCCCTTCACCATCAAAAACTCAAAAGGTATTTGGATTTGCAGAGAAATACGCATACACAAGAAACCAGCGGAACTACATGTTCTTCATGGCATTGCTTAGGTACCTACATTTCCACAGCTGCTTTAAAAAAAAAACTCTAGAGGTTGATCTCTTCAAAATAAGTAATCAGTTCCACTCTTCTAGTGTGGAACTGAATAAAGGTAGTAATTCAAATTGGGGTGGGAAGAAATACAGGACAACCAAATAATATAAAAATGTAAAATTTAAAGCGCTAACTTCATTTGCTGGCAAATCAAAATGCAAAAAGTCTGCAGCTTGAATAACTAATGCTGAAGTTAAATGCTAATGTACAGTCTTATAATACTTAAAATATTTTTCATCTTTACAGAGACTGAGCTATAACGACAAATGTACACACCCAATGAAACGCAACCAGATTTGTGACAAAGCTGCGAATAAAATATACAGTTGTCTAGGAAAAAGAAAATGTTTCCTCAACATCTCAGGGGAAGGGCAGCAAGGAGGAAGATTAAGTAAGCACACACAAAACCAACATGCTTTTCCCAAAAAGTTATCTGGGTTCTTTTCGTTTCCCACACAAATTAGAACCTGTCTTCAGGATCTAATACCAAATAAACAGGCTTCCTTACCTCTAGAAGTAAAGCTATGAAGAGATTAACCCAGATGACAGAGGAGATCAACCACCAGGCTACAAAATAGATCTTTGCCCACCTGCAGATCGGATTAACAAACAGTAAGTAAAGTAGGCGGTAAATAACCTCAGCCTCAAAGTGACTAAGGAGAGCCACGAAATCACATTTTTCCTTGAAATATAATACTACTACTTTCTCAATGTAAAAGGAGGTCTGGAACAACAACAAAAAAAATTTAGCCTTTCATTAAGTTAGCCAAACAGACTCGCTCCCCCCGCTTAACGTACCTAATTCAACTCTGAAGGGACAGAAAAGCAACCTAGTAGAAGTTTTACTGGATCACACCAAAAGATCCATCTAGGCT